CCCTAGCACTAACCCTAACCCTAAAAATGGACTTAATTTGCACTATTTTTGGCAGTCTGCAACCCCCCTAAGTCTCCTTCTTATTTCTTGGCTGCAGTCACCATTCTGATCAATATTTGATCCAAGGTATGGGAACTCTTTGATTAATTCAATGTTGTCCTTATCTAGGATGAATTCTTCTAGGTCTTTTGTGGTCATTATTTTTGTTTTCTTAATGTTCAAAATTAATCCTACTTAGAATCATAGAATCATAGAATCATAGAATCATAGAGTTGGAAGAGACCACAAGAGCCATCCAGTCCAACCCCCTGCCATGCAGGAACTCCCAATCAAAGCATCCCCGACAGATGGCCATCCATCTGTCTTTAGCACTTTAGCACTTTCCTCCTTGACTTTCTTCAGTGCTAAAGTACTTTAGTACTTTAGCACTTTCCTCCTTGACTTTCTTCAGTAATTACTACAGATCTTTGTTTCTGCTGGTAGTATTGTGGCTCAGTCAGCCTTACTGTGGAACAACAGTCTATCAGGTTAAACTAGAGTGATTTGTTGCAACAAAAACAAGCAATCTTATATGGCATCTTAACGAATAATTATATTTTGGGCATGATATTTCATAGACTTGAGCCCAGTTCTGTTGCAGATTATTCAACAACATCTGATTCAGACAAACATTTCAGGGTGTGACCTTGAATTTCACCACTGATTTGTTAAATGGCATTAAGACAGGATCATCTGGTTTTGACATAACAAAGACTTCTGGCATAATACAAGTCCAAGTTTTTGTATGGAAGTTGGCAAGAGGAGGAATGCTTAGCCTCAAGGCTTCTTGAGTTATGATTTATGAAATCTGCAACAATAATAAAAACTGGCCCTTGTATCTCTTATCATTTCATAGGAGTTTATCACATGGGAGAGAAGCTCCCAAATTCCGTGGATAAATGGGGATTAAATCCGGGAATATCCCACAAGAGCGGGATTGTTTTCAGACATCACCATTATCCTAGAATTCTAATAATAATAATAATAATAATAATACTTTTTATTTATATCCCGCCCCTCTGCAGAGCAATCGAGGCGGCTTACAATATTACAATTTCCATTAAACAAAATATAACATCCCGAATCCCACCCATCCTTTAAGAAATAAGAGTTCTTCTTATTTTAGACTGGGTGGTGCTGGGCTTACTGTCTCTCCCCCAGATGACATTGGGTGGTAATTATCCCATTAATTAAAGTGCACAATTTGGCTGCTTTTGGCTGCTTTTTATTTTTGGGAAAATCCTGAAAATAAAAAGTGGTGCATTTTGGCCGCTTTATTCATGGGTTAATTCCAGGATAATGGTGACGTCAGGGGACGTTATCTGAAAACAATCCCGCTCTTGCAGGATATTTTTGGGTTTTAATCCCTGTTTATCCATGGGATTTGGGCACTTTGCCTCCCGTGTGATAAACTCCATGGTCTTTACCTTGCCTTGTTTACAGTCTTCCTTCTCAATACACAAGCCTGTGCATAACATGTTACAAAACATTGTTCATAGAATTTATTGAGTCACAGAATAATTAAGCAATCCTTTATGATTCAGAAAGGAGATTCTGGAAAGTGTGTGTTTCAAGACAGATTTTTTTAAAAAACCCAAAGCATATGGCTGCTAATATAAGCCAAATTGCTATACTTAAAAGTTTAGAGCACAAAAACAATTTGATGTACCCCAGGGAGTACACTGTTAATTGTCTAGTAAACACCAAAAATGTATGTGCTTCAACTTGTCTATCAACCCCATGAATTTCATATGGTTTTCTTAGGCAAGGAATATAAGCCATTAAATAAATTCCACTGAAGATAGGGGGGTTGCAGACTGCCAGAAATAGTGCAAATTGAGTCCATTTTTAGAGTTAGGGTTAGTGCTAGGGAATCATGGGAATTTTTTTTTTTTCTGAGACATTGAGCCTTCTCTGTCAGAGAGCTCTGGTGCCACAATAAAATACAGTTCCCATGATTCCCTAACCCTAACCCTAAAAGTGGACTCAATTTGCGCTATTTCTGGCAGTCTGCAACCCCCCTTAGTGAATCTTCATAAACTGAGTCAACTGGATAGGATCAGGGTGCAATCTGGTGAAATGGCACTTTCTACACTATAATACCACAACACTAATTTTTTTAAAAAGGAAAAAAATGGCCTTCAAATCCAAACCTAGTTGTAAAATAAACTTTGGAAAAGCCCTAGTGAAGATCCAAGGAATTGGTATGAACACTCCCCAAAAGAATAGAGTGCATGGATGCAGAGGCAGCAACAACTGCTGAAACAACAAACCCAAGGAACTATATTGTGAGTAGTCAGGCTTCATTAGACCAGTATAGAAGAGCCCTTTGTCTCCCTTTCCATCATGGCAATTCCTCTATCCAGAACAGCTGCATTACAAGAAACAACAGGGTCAGCCAGCCCTAGACATTTGCTGCTTAAGGTGAAGACCAAGATGGCCTTCTAAAGTCTGCATACTGAATCTGCAATAGCTACTGAATCTTATTTCAGGACTGGCAACGAAACAGCGTCCTCCACCCACAACTGAGCACAGCCCAGTTTAGAGGGCAGGGCAGGCTGTGTGACATACATAGGCTGCATCTACATTGCAGAAATAATGCAGTTTGACACTGCTTTACTGCCATGACTCCATGCTATGGAATCTTAGGATTTGTAGTTTGTTGTGGCACCAGGGCTCTCTCTGACATAGACGGCTAATTATCTTACAAAATGATAAATCCCAGAGTTCCATAGCATTGAACTATGGCAGTTAAAGCGGTGTCAAACTGTATTATTTCTGTTGTGTGGATAAAGCTGCAGTCTTTTATCTAGCATGGAACAATAGAGTTCATGTGGAACTGCAGAGTTTCGCATTGCTGCCCAGTGCATGCAGTTTTCCCCCTCTGCCTCATGGGAGGGCCAGTCCTGAACATATTATCTAACCAGTCTGAGTATTTCTTGGCTAGTTTTCAATCAAATTCACTGCACTAGGCAGTAGAGATCATATAGCTTCTCATATTTTGCATACTTATTAAGAAAGTAAATCCCTTGGAGTTCTGTTGATTTATTCCAGACAAGTGTGCTTCGGATTGTAAATTTGGTCAACCAGCAAGATTTATTACCCATGAAAGTAAGATGGCAATATAGACCTTCCATGTTTCATGCAGAGTTAGAAAAAAACTACTTTTAGTATAATTTCCAATGTCCATACTGGCTGGGAAATATAGTCCAAAATACCTTTCCCAGGCTTTGAATCAGATATAAGAAACTTCTGAATAGAAATATCGGGGACAAAAAGAAAATACAAAGCAGAATTGTGGTCTCCAGGTCACACTTGTGGTCTTGCTGGAGGCAGCTGATTTTCTACGGTTGTAAAAAAGAAATCATCTGATTTCTAGTGATTTCTCTGGTTCTTTTTTGTGCCTCTTATACTCTGGCCCTGTGCTTGGAAAGACTGGATTGGATCAAGCTTACCCCCATATAAGAATGCTCAGGACTAAAATCTTAATGTCTTTGTCTGTCACCATTATGACACGCCTGGTGATGCAACTCACGTGGCATAATGGCATCAGCTCATAATGCAATGCCTCTGCCATGTCATGGATCAGTATGGTTAGTGAGACCCTCACAGTGTCACAGGAGTGATCTTACTGTGGCCAATTCTGTCTTGATTTCTTTATTGACTGGATGGTTCACAACTAATTTCACAAAGTGCTTGTAAGGAAACTGTGCAAGACACAGGGATCAGTTGGAGCGCAGAACTCAGGAATATTACATTCTTTGAACTATAAATCCCAGAATACCCCTGAAGTTTTTTGGGTGCTTTTTTTTTTTTTGAAGCTATAGTCCAAAAGAAACATTTCCAAGTTCTGATCTCCCTTATATGCATATGTCCCATGGTTTCCCTCTAGCTTGAAGTGAAAGTATGAATTTACTGTGAACTTTTTGAGTACATCCCTGACAGATTTTACATTGGCATACAGCCAGCTCACCATATGCACAGATTCTGCATCCATGAATTCAACCATCCATGGCTTGAAAATTTAAAAAAAAAAAACTCCCAAAAACAAATCTTGATTTTGCCATTTTATATAAGGGACACCATTTTATTATGCCATTGTATTTAAAGGGACTTGAGCATCTGTGGATTTTGATATCCACATGGGGTCCTGGAAGCAAACCCCAGCAGATATCAAGGACCCACTATATTTAAAAAGATAACTTCCCAATAGCCAAGTAACCAGTTGATGCTGGAAAGCTCAAATATTTGATGATTCTTTTGTTAAATTGTAGTTTAACCTAATCAAGATGTGAAAGCTGGTGTGATGTAATGGTTTATATGTTGGACTACGGCTTGGGAGACCAGGGTTCGATTCCCCACTCGATCATGGAAACCCACTGGGTGAACTTGGGTGAGTCGCACACTCTCAGCCCCAGAGAACCTCATGATAAGTTGCTATAAGGGTTGCTGTAAGTTGAAAATGACTTGAAGGCACACAATAAAACAACTAATCAAGGTACTAGAATTCAAAGACATAGCTGTTAGATTATTGCACATCGTAAAAACTCAACTTACCTCTCCTGAACTGAAGTCTAATTCAGGCTACATCTGGGTCCTAGCCCATGACTTTTTATCATATAGAAACAACTTTGAAAAATGGCTTGCAAACCACATTAAAGGACCTGGATTGCAGCCGGGCTGCACTCGGGTGGTGGATTTGGCAACAAAAGCTATGAAACAAGACCTGGATGCAGTCCGAATTAGACTTCAATTCAGGAAAGGTAAGTTGTGTTTTTCGGTGTGTGATCATCTCCTTAGTCTGGAAAATCAGTATGCAAAGGGATCTTGTAGCACCTTTCAGCCTAACTAAGGGGAGTTGCAGACTGCCAGAAATAGTGCAAATTGAGTCCACTTTTAGCGTTAGGGTTGGTGCTAGGGAATCATGGGAATTGGTTTTTTTTTTCTGAGACATTGAGCCTTCTCTGTCAGAGAGCTCTGGTGCCACAATAAAATACAGTTCCCATGATACCCTAACCCTAAAAGTGGACTCAATTTGCACTATTTCTGGCAGTCTGCAACCCCCCTATAAAGAAGAAGCTGGCAGCATAAGCTTTTGTAGACTTAAGCCTGCTTTCATGCATCTGAGGGAGTAGGCTCAAGTCTACAGAAGCCCATGCTACCACCTTCTTTCTTTCTTTCAGTTAGTCTCAAAGGTGCTACAAGATCCCTCTGCATA